CCATTATCAAGCGTTTAAGCACATTCGGGACCTCCCGTAAATTTAGCCATTTTTAGTTTACATTTTACAGGAATTTCTTCCTTAAGAAATGAATGTATGTACAAGTTCGTTTAATAGTTTGTAATTGATTTAATTTATGGTGTTTGAAAAATTTTGTTTTTGTTGTAACATAATTCTGTGATTAAAAACTTATTATACAATTTAAAAAAGATTGCTATGCATAAAAAAATTTATCTTGCTATTCTAAATACAACATAGTATTTTTAGTTTAAATTTTTAACGATCAATTTTACCAAATACAATTTCTGAAGTACCTATATTGTAACGACATCTGCAGTCAATTTAATTTCAACTATTTATAATAGGAAAGAGCTCAAGGTTAAAGGTTTCATAGATTACCTTCTAGATTAGTTTTCATAGATTAGGCAAGACAAGACCGAGCAAGATCGAAGCGATCCACTGGACAGATCGGCGTGTTTCATTTTGGTGAAACCAAGGACCGATCTGCCCAAATTGAGCACTTCCAGCAAGATTGGCCGATCCCAAGACCAGATCTGACCGATCCCAAGGCAAGATCGACGCAAGACTACTATTTGCTGAGTGAAGATTTACGCACAGCAAAGACCCCGATCCCGAAGACAAATCGAGATCAGTGCGATTCAAGATAGAGATCGCGACATCTTTAACTAGAGATCACCGCGACTCGAGATCAAGATCGCAGAACCTCTGTTCGTGGTGTGAAGATTTCTGCACCGGAAGCGAACTCTCAACCCAACCTCTCAGCGAGATCGACATCTCACAAGGCCGTTACGAAGAGCTCAAGCCAGCCCAATTGACGGGTACACAAGGTGAGCGCAAGGTTATACAGCAAGGCACGGATCGGAGTACCCCCTCCGTGATTCGGCAAGTCTGGGCAAGTGTAAGATCGACACTCACTAGAGTAATTTTGTGAGATCGGCTTCACCACAGACCCTTTAAAATCACTCATTAAAAATGTGGAAGAATTGTCGGCACGAGGGTGTCGAAAGTCTGGTGGGGAGGGTGTAACGGGGCTACTCGGCGTTTGTTAAACCGGATATGTTGTGTGTCCACACCAAGTTTAGATCGGTGGATCTGAGTGGTACAGTACCGATACCATGTACTTACGATACTACCGCACCTTATCGGTAAGGAATAAGATATAAGACTTCTGTCACATGATCCTAATCAGAGTCAGTCCTGCAGGTGTTTACAGCGTTATCCTTATTGAGTGAAACCCTGTTATGGAGAACTCAGACAAGGTTTACTAGTTTTATTACCGTAGTAAAAGAATAAAAAAGATCAGTTCATCTTTTGAATCGTTGGACGCTAGTGCCTAGTCAAGCGTAGTGTGTTGTTAAGAGCATTAGCCTTGTAAAGGTGCTTACTCTTGTCTAACTAGTAGTAACTAGTTAGTGCAGGATTCTGCGAATTGTAATCCATTTGGGACCGTGATTGTTTAGTTTGTACGATCAAAGAAATGTACATTGTTGTTAGTTTGTTATAAGAAAATACGTTTCTAATCTAAGACTTCACCTGTTAAGCAGCGCTAAGTAGCTACGCTACATTTACAATTAGTAAATTTTAACTCTTCCAATCTTTTTTGTAGCATTTGACCTGAAGAGGCGACAACACTTCGAAGCGTAGTGAGTGTTGGTTTGTTTAAAAAAAACCAAGAACGATCTGAAAACCCAGTCCGGCGAGCCCCGCCGGTGACCACGGCCCCTACCAAAATTAACGGGGACAACACTTTGCATTATGAGGGCGGCCTGCAGGTTTTGCGGATGGAGGGCGACAGAAAGAACTTCTCAACCCGTACACAGTCCACACAGGACTGGGGCCAGAAGGGAAAAGGGCTCCACATCTTCAACAGCAGGGAAGACGGCTAGAACATACTATCGCGCCGGCACTCGCACTTAAAGCGTAACAACGACCGAATCGGTCGCAGGGGCATGACTTTTCTCGTCTAGTGCGGCACCAGATGCGAAACCACTCGAAAAAAAAATAGCTGCTACGGCACCAGATGCGAATCCACAACCTTATATCTCAAAAGACTTGTTTGTCTGCCTGATTTGCGACACAATACGCACAGAAAGCAGAAATACTAGAGTTGTGGCAGTCAACGGTGGCGCAACTCTTCTCGAAAATCTGATCTGATATCTCAGTAAAAAGTGATCAGATGAATCTTAAAACAGTAGACCTAATAAAGCTATAACATTTACAAATTAACTTCAAATGTTTTTTTTCGTATTAAAGATTTTATTGAATTGTAAAACACAGATAGATGTTTTTTATAATTAAATTTACTTTTTGTACTATTATATGTAATCTCGATGAAACTGGAAAGCGTATATCTCACAAGGCTTGATATTCGAAGTTGGCGCCAGAAAAACGTGCAACAATGCTGATGCCTTTATGCGAGGACGTGTGCGTCATAGTAAAATACTTTTTTCAACAATGGGATCGTTCTACAAAGATCTTCAATCAGGACATTCAGCACACAACGTGGATGCTTAGTTCGTTGTTGGAGAGGATTATTTCTGATTTGCGCTGAGCACAAATACCCACCTATTACCATTTTTCGGGGAAGACTACGGGAGCTTGATCATAAGGCTTTAGTGATCCCACTAAAACGGATAAGGCCATATGCGAGCGCTAAATTAAAATCTGACGAAATATTTTTTGGACGCTTAACGGTGACAGACGTGGACCGGAGGACCTTCTAAACTTGCAGGACGAAAGCAAATGCAAATGGAAGTTTTTTAGGGGTTAACGGAAATCAATATTGTCGGTAGACGTCCGCCACAATTTTCAACAAAAATGCTCGATCATTATGAACTGCTCACACTTCATAAAACTGTCGAGGCGTGAGTGAAAGGGAAGGTAAGCTTTTGGCTCGGCTTGAAGTGTACACTTTGAACTAGAGGCCGGCACACACTTTCGCTATAGGAAGATATTTTTCGGCGGTGGAGAGCACCGATGATGACCGGCAGCGTATACATGACCTAATTTTTCTAGTGAAGGCGATGAGCTACGACAAGGTATCGAACTCGATCCCTCTGTTTTTTTTAATTGATCAAAGGTGAAGAAGTTTAATGTCACGTTAGTCCCGTACAAGCCCATGGTGTGTCGCTTGCTCAAAAAGCATGGCAGGTCCGCACGGTTAGCCTGGTTCCGGACAACTGGAGTGTCTAAGATGAGTGATTTAAGTGTTTCTTACGAAGACCGCTCATAGAAACATCGCGCTTTTAAAAAATTGGTATAATCTCGGCGTAATTTTGCAAATTCAGTACTTTGCCGTATGTGTTGGAGACTATGAATACTTGTGCACCGGATCATCGGACGCTTATTGTCTAAAAGTTGAAATTTAACTCTTGGGCTGTCCACAATCATTGCAGGGAAATTTTCGAATTGATTTAATTCAAAACAATGGTTACTCACACAAATCCTGCTGTCGATTAGCAACTGCAGTGCAACAACGTTGGCCAGAGCACATCCTGGCTTAGCTAACTCGATGAATAGCTTAGAGTGGATGTCTGTTTCATAGTCACGGAAAAAAATACTGTCGCACGGACAATGTCGCCAAGCTTTCGCCGCGCTGGGTAATATCAAGGCTGCGGCATCACTCCTTTATCAATTTATCAGGAAAAGGCGGCGGTTACAACAAAGAAATACCCACAAAATCCAATTCGTGCTAAACGAGTAGCCTCGGGCAACGACGACGTCAGATTAATCTCGACACTTCCGGTCAGTCTTGGTTTGTAGTGCATAGAAGCGTTAATTTCTTCGACTACAACCGTTAGACCCAGATCTATCTTACAAGCTTCCTAAATTAAAGTGCCGATCCACGATCTTCGCCATATGCCGCTACCAACCAAACTTAATGGCATTACTCGATGTGCCTCCTTCCCAAGATGTCAATGTTTGTGGCGGACCTACATTGCCCCTTAAGTCAGAGGAAGAATTAACGTTTATCGAGCAGCTCATCTTTAAAGAACTAGACTCAATGATTTAATAAGCGTAAAGCTTATGGTCATTGTTTCGGGGGACCAAAGGACTCAATAAATTGACGGCACGAAGTGCTCAGAGTGACTAGCTACCTCAGGGAGGTTTTGCTAACTCTTAGTGATCAGTGTTCGACGACCAAAGACGCCTTGCAAGACACGTGTCTTTAAGAGCAAAAAGGTTACTGAATAAAATTTACATATACACCTACATAAACCGTTATCTAAGTAAGTAGAACCGTTATCTAAGTAAGTAAAACCAAGATCTTTCCTATCTAGTGGCAGGCATCATTCAGCCCATAAATACCAACAAGATATTCGAAATCTCTTTCACAGGGATACTATCCGCATCTAAGACACAGGGTTTCAGGCACCCAACTACGTGTGACTCCGTTACACCTTCCTTTACCAGACTGACGTTTTCCAAAACGTCGATCGAATCTCGTCCCAATTGGACCTCGTCCCAAAACGAAGGTTCTCATCGAACTATTTTCTTCCACGAGGTCAGTGCACGAGCTGTACATTACGGTAACGTAAAGCTCCTAGCACGATGTCCTCATTGCGTAGAGAGTCAGATACTCTCAGTGACAACGTCGAAATGGGGGAGGTTATGGACTATGGTAGAAATGCCAGTGTCCCGGGTGCTGTAGGGAAAATGTCCGATACACCCATGTCTGAGGTACAACTTCGTACTGCCCCCTGCACGAACCCTAAACTTGATATTGAGAATTCGCCATTGACGCCGCGCTCAATTCCCGGTTCGGATGTTACCATCATTACAAACGCGCTTGATGAGCAACTACAAAACATCTTTTAACAAAGAGAAAGCACTTGGCGCCACGCGCAAATGGTTGCAGGCCTCTAGCACCAACGTGACTATGTAATCATTGTACCCAGTGTGGAGGAACGCTTACGTCATACTACCGGCCAAACGTTGGTAGCGTGGGTCATTAGCCATGGGCTAAGTATCCCGAGAAGATGGCGAGCGGACAGGCACTTCGCGAGAGGTACCTAAAGCCTCACCTCACGGCTCAAGGTCATTACAAGGAACGTTTTGATGTGCAAGCACGTGGTGCACCGGTCACACCTGTTAAGGGTATACACATTCTCTTGTCTGCAGGCGAAAAAGAAAGTGAAGAAAATGATGCTTTCGTCCGCTGGGTGCACCGCATACGTCGCCTCAGCAGCATGTCTGCTCTAAGAGCTAGTGTCAATATGGCTGATGTGCGTCTCGAACGCAATCTTCGGTATGACGATGCCAAGCTCAAGGCTAGAGGCCAATTGCGTAATCCCACGCGTGTACGCTTCGGCTACTACGGTAGCCGCGAGTGTTAGTTAAACAATGACCACCAAACTGCCAACCTATACCACTAGTGGTGGAAAACGGCCTCGGTCTCGAGAAGACCATGACCACGATGCCCAAAAGCATCCGAAGCATAAGGGGAGTCTTGCCGTAGGTGTATCTTAAACTCCCATGAGTTTTAGACTCAGGGTACACTAGCCACCTTACCAGATACTGTTATTGGCCCTAATGATGACGTCGTTTCAGTAGTCTCTCGACATGAAACTGACCACACCCATGCTCATCGAGCAAAGTTGGTGGCGGTCGGTGTACCGGTGGCAGCCCACGAGAAATTGGATCTCGAAGTGAAGGGTATTTAAGAGACCCTGTGGAAGACCCGAGGCATGATGGATGTGATGCAGAGCCGCCTTCAGGCGATAGAACATGCTCAAAACCAGAGCGAGGCTTAATTAAACTTTGCTGATTTGTTTGCAGCAATCCGGATCATCGCCCTCGTCGTCGGCGATAGCGCCTCAATGTTCACATGGAAAGCATCCCGGTACGGCTTAATTAAGCCTACACTGAACACTAAGTGTGTTCGCAATTTGCGTATGAGGCAGAGTGTATACGCAAGACCATTTTAGCGGTGACCGTAAACGGTCCATGAGGCGTGAACGCAACTCTGTCTATGGACAGCAGACACTACATTTGTAGGTAGGTTTTAAGCTTTTAGTAATACTTGGTCACCTACCTCACCACTTTCATTTCAATTTATGTCTTTAGCATAAGCTTGTTCCTTTTGTGGATCTTGGCTATTAGCCATTGCATCATGTACATGTTTTGAGACATTCAATCGCGTTGCGAGGAACTCGTCCACCTGTTTTTGAACAGTAGCAGGGCTGATATTAGCAAGCCGATTGGCAACCTCTCCCCTGCCTTGCTTTGAATCACAGAGTGGTATCTTCAACGGAACGCGAGGGTGGGTGAGATCTTTACATAAAACGGAGTCAAACTTGTGGAGGCATGAACAGCGTTATTAACGCAAACTCCACCACACGGAGCATAAAGATCCAATACCTAAGAGCGTCAGCGCAAATACTGCGCAAAATGTCACTAACGACACGGTTGACGCGTTCAGTCTGATCATCGGTCTGTGGATGATCCGCCGTGAACATGTCCAACATGGTGCCGAGCACCTTGAATATGAAAGTCCAAAACTTGCCAGTGAAGCGGGGTCTCTATCAGAGACGGTTGTCACAGGCAATCCGTGTTGTCGAAACACACGATCCATAAACAGCTTAGCTGTTTCTTCTCCATCAATGGAGTCCGACACTGCTGCTAAGTGAGCCATCTTGCTCAGTCGGTCAACAAAGGCCACACAGTACAAGTGTCGCCGTCCGAATCCTTTGGTAGGCCAAACACAATGTCCATACTGATAGAATCCTAACACCCAGTGGTTACAGGCAGACTAGCTGGCGGCGCAGCCGCATGTGCTGAGGGTTTGATCCGTTGACACATTTCGCACGAACGAACATAGGTGCTCACCCACTTGTGAATCTTGGGCCACCAAAAAGCCTGGCTCACCGAGCCATAGGTCTTCTCACAACCGAGATGACCGCTCAAAGCAGTAAAGTGTGCCTCATAGAGGATTCGATTATATAACTCCTCATCAAGAGGAACAGCGATACGAGCAGTATCCTCAATATTTGTGCTATAGCACAGTAGGCCAATATCAAGAGAATGTCGCTGTATTCCCGCAAGTAACTGTGCCAAAAATTCTATGTCCGAGTCTTTGAACGAATCACAGCCTAGTGCGCGCAATAACGCGACGCATTGGTCATCTTTGGCATAGGTTTCACGGAATAAACCAGGAATAGACGACCACAGAGTCGTAACATGAGCAAGATCATAGTCAGGTCGACGCGATAGCGCATCGGCAAAACATTTTGCTCTCCTGGCATATACTTCACCTCGAAGTTATATACGGTAGCGAGCGAAAGCCAACGACCCGTTCTCTGAGAGAGATGCAGCGTCTGTGTCGCAGTGCGCAATGACGCATGATTAATGAAGATCACAAAAGGCTTCGAGGAAAGTACATGGACTCTGAATTTGACAAGATCGTACTTTATTGCGATTAACTATTTGTCGTTAACTAGATAGTTCTTTCAGCAGCTCTAAGCTGGCGAGACTCGAATGCAATGACGCTTTCGCGTCCATCAACATCGATTTGTAACAGAGCACTGCCAACAGCAAAGTCAGATGCATCACAGACGACACTGAAGGGCCGACCACGATCGGGAAAAGCCAATTTTGGCGCATGAAGAAGACTCTCCTGAACCACTTTAAAAGCATCGTCTTCGGCATTTCGCCACACCGATCCTTTATCTAATAAAGAAATTGGATAATGGCCAATACACATCAGCGTAATTTGAACTTTACTTATGCCAGTAATTGGCAAGGCCAAGCCGCTAACGATTTTTTTTTGGTTTCAAGAAACCAGTTAGTCGACTATGGTCTTTACCTTAGCTAGGTCTGCTCGAAGGCCTCGCTTCCCAACAAAGCACCCTAGAAAGGGAATCTCTTCTGCACCAAAGATGTACTTAAACGCGTAAGCGTACAATTCAGTCTGGCGCATACACTCGAGAACCGCTTGTAAATGATCAGTGCGGTTATACACATCTTGTAGACCATTCGTCGCACGACTATGGACAAAGATGTCGTCAAAGAACGTTTGGCTTAACCTCGATGAGATCTGAACAGTTGCGTTACAAGACAATTAAAGATTGCGAGGGCATTATAAGGTCAGTGAGGTATGACAACCCACTCTCAAATCAATCCACTCGGCGTACTAATTACAATGAGCGGAAGCTTAATCGCTCGCATGGGGGGCTGGTAATAACCGTCGACTAGTCGAGTGCGCTAAACATGGTGCAATCCACCTTATTGTTCTGAGGAGCATCCTTTACACAAATAGACGCCTACGCTGGTACAATGGCTGCAGTAAGCTTTAAAGAAGCATGTACATTACGCCACATGCCTTCGGCTTCTTGACAGAAATGTCGGTGTCGAATGAGGAGATTTACTCTCACGAACCATTCCAGCCGCTTGCTTAGCACGAACAAAATCGTCAATAATGTCACACACTGCTTTAGGCAGAGTCACTGCTGTGCTACGCAGCATTTAGTTCCTGGAACTAGGTCAAATTTATGACGTACACCTCTATCAGGTTATAAGACTGACAGCGGGTTGTGACACACCACATCTTTAAATTTCCTAGCCAAAAGGATAGATGGGTCCAAAAGGATATTCAATGATCAAAGATCCTCTTCGCGCGCCAAGTGCCGCTTCTGTCTCTTCCAAGACAGACTCATCCATTCATGAGGACGATTTGACCTAACATCGGGTCTAATGACCACAATTTCGGATAAATTATCTGCCTGTAAGACCTAGATAAACTCGCCGCCTGACATTTTTTCTAGATCACACAGAGCATACAAAGATGAATGGTTTCTAGGCTAACATTGCCATTAACCTGACCTGCCACTCCGCTAACAAGCGTATATAGCATACAACCATAATCATTTATTAACTGCGTGTACGCCTGGCCCTTGACAGTTGCCATCTGACGTCGAGGTAGTCTCTTGGAGACATTACACCCCTTACGTGTCGGGACACTACTTTCCCATTTTTTACTACTAATAGAAGTGCGCTCTGTAAGAGAGCCAATGTCTTGACAGACATCCGGTTGAACACTTCTCCCGGTGGATTCTTCGTGCCACTCCACGCACAGTAAACGGGCCGCTTCCCAAACTGAAAGGCGCTTCTCCAACATTGATATCACCGACATTAAGTGTGGTGGCCTCACGGCCACCCGCACCCGGTGAATTTCCACGTACCACTACTCATACATTATGCAAGCCTAGTTTTGAACTACACGGTGTCTCGCCAACAATGTCATGAACGAAAGTAAGTGTGGTGTTTTCACGGCCGACCACACTTGGTGAATTTTTACGTGCCACCTCACACACATCAAAGGAATCGCATCCTCGGTAATTCGTCCCTAGGAAAACCATGCTTACAGCAAGCAGTGAATCGTTAGCACAACAAGTAACACTCAACGGATTACGTGCCGTATCACCATTATTCGACGATCGGGTTCCAATCCAATGTCCAGCACATTAAAATCTTCTGTCGAAGACTAGCGCCAGTAGTGCTTCTGTTGCCTAGCAAGGGTAGGTTCATGACCCTCCCAAATTTACCTGGAACGTTGCGTGTGGTGCCTAAGGTCTTAGACCCTCACTTAATCTATGGCTCATGGCATTTAAGCCAAGTCATACCTTAGATGAGAACATGTCTCGAATCCAAATATCAAGGACAAGTTAGCGCTCAATGCTGTTAAAGTCCAAAACTGCAACCCTAAGTTCAACGGAACTTTAGGCACAGTAAATTGACTTCCACTTGCTAAATGAACCGTGATAGAATCACCCTCAGGCGCTGTAAGCGTTTCAGCATAACGCTGACTTCATCAAGGGAAGGATATAAAGCGTAATAGCAAGACGCTCCATAGTCGATCAATATTGACCAAGATCTCTCATAGTACTCAATTTTTCGCCTCGGCTACTAAAAGGCTTGACTTGTAATCACGTTCCAATCCAACAGGTACGGAGCTCTTTGGGGCTAAGCTCTGTTTAACGTTACCTCCTTAATGTGTAAAAAAACCCAGTTCTGCTTCGGTAGGGCGCCCCGCGCCTACTTGGCGTCGGCATTTCCCCGTGCCATGCCAGACTTCTGGCTCGGGGTGGAGTGTTGGCTTGTAGCCAGATTACGCAAAGAGCTTCCAGGCCGCATGTATTTAGTTCTTCCGCACGAAAACATCGTCGTACGTCGCGTTGCTGCTCAGCAGCTTGAAGTTTAAGTTCACCTTCATCTAGATTACTGATGAGATCCATCGGTTCCGGCCTGTTAAAGGCCTAACCACTTGTGGAATTTGCTCTTGCAGAGCTGAAGTTGTACCCATTCCAGCCAAGCCTAGCAGACTTGAAGTTAGCTCAGA